TTTTTTTTTTTTTTTTTTTTCTTTGCGATCTTATATGTTGCAGATGACAAAAGTAATGGAGAAAAGTAAGTCAATAGTGATTACAGGCCATTCACTTGGAGGGGCAGCAGCCTCTCTATGTACTCTTTGGCTACTCTCTCTCTTTCATTCCAAAACCACGCACCACCCTTTGTTATGCATCACCTTTGGCTCCCCATTGATCGGCAATGAGTCGCTTTCGAGAGCTATTCTTAGAGAACGATGGTGTGGCAACTTCTGTCACGTCGTCTCAAACCACGACATTATGCCGAGGCTTCTCTCTACTCCGCTTTCCTCCTCCCTCTCTTCCCAGCTCCATGTTCTCCTTAGATACTGGCATTTGTCGGTGGCCTCTCCGCAGTTTGGGAAGCTTGCTACCCAACTGTCAGAAAAAGAGAAAGACGAGCTCTTTCGGGTTGTATTGGCTCACTCTAACACGATATCTAACTCGGAAGAGGGGTCGATACAAAGTCAGTTTTGGCCATTTGGGAACTTCTTCTTTTGCTCAGGAAATGGGGCAATCTGTTTGGACAATGCTATATCAGTTCTGAAGATGCTCTATCTGTTGCTCAAAACAAGTGTTCCAAACATTAGCATTGAGGATCATCTCAACTATGGAGATTATGTGAAAAAAGTTGGAGTTCAACACATGGAGAGGAAAAACTTCGCCTCCGAGCGTCTTCCTAATTCGAGCTATGAAGCAGGGCTGGCTCTAGCATTGCAGTCCTCAGGAATACCTTTCCAAGTAATAAAAGTTCTCAACTTCCCTTTCTTATAACAGAACTTATTGGTTTGTGAGAAAGAAGAAAACTTAGTATTTCAAAATTGCAGGATGAAGTGGCTCGAATGGCAGAAAATAGCTTGAGGACGGCCAGGAGAATGGGACAAACGCCGAACTTGAACGCAGCGAAACTGGCTGTAAGCTTATCTAAGATTACGCCTTACAGGGCTGAGATAGAATGGTATAAAGCCTCTTGTGATGAAGCAGGTGACCAATTGGGGTACTATGATTGTTTCAAGCAAGTAAATACTTCAGTAAAACATGCTAGAGTGAACATGAACAGACACAAGCTTGCGACGTTCTGGAACCGAGTGATCGACATGTGGGAGAACAATGAGCTTCCTCCAGATTTCAACTTAAGAGCGAAGTGGATCAATGCTTCGCATTTCTACAAACTCCTAGTAGAGCCATTAGACATAGCAGAATATTACTGCCGTGGCAAGCACATTACTCATGGGCATTACTTAAAGCATGGAAGAGACAGAAGATACGAGATTTTCGACAAATGGTGGAGAGGGAGCGACGCTGCAGACAAAGGGAATACTCAGAGGACGAAATACGCAGGTCTGACTCAAGATTCATGCTTTTGGGCAAGGTTGGAGGAAGCTAAAGAGCTGCTGGAGATTATTAAATGTGAAGGCGATGTGAGAAAGTTGGCTCCAGTTTGGAAAAGTTTGGAGAACTTTGAAAGGTATGCCAGAGGATTGGTTGAAAGAAAGGAGGTTTCTAAAGATGTGGTTGCAAAGAATTCAAGCTACACCTTGTGGGCTCAAGAACTGAGGGCATTGAAGCTAAATATGTAATGATTAGGTACTTAATTTTACGGCAGAAAAGTTCTAACTCTTAAGTAGTTAGCACCTTGGACTAAGGATCTCTAAATCTAGAAAATGTTAACTTGATACTCAATTATCTACTAATTGAGAAAAGTAATATTGTCAGTTATGCCATAATATATTATAATATCATGTTTCTGGTCTACAATATCAAAATGCCAATCCAAGTGATGCAGTTAATGTAGATATAAATGCTAATACCTGCTCTTTGGTCTTCATGCCCACAAAAACAAGCCCATTACCTGTACAAAAGGTCATATTTCCGTTGTGATAAAGTAGAATAGCCCAACAGAGTGATTCAGTTACTACTTATATCAACAAAAATGCCTGATCTAATTTGCTCACGAATTTTCATTAACAGCTTTGTCGATTTCTTCTACGTGATTTCGAAGAACATTCCACTGCAGAAAGACAACGATTAAAGAAAATAGAAAAGTTAATTGTTTTTAATAAAAGAATGAAAGTTTAATTTTTTTAAGAAAATAGAAGTGCACAACACCTGATCCAAGGATAGCGAGAAGCCTGTAAACAAAAAGAAAATCAAAAGGCATACTCAACTTCTTCATTTGCAGTATTATATGCAACTTCATGTCAATAATATAGATCATGGTAAGTTAACATTTATAAAAAAAAAAATGAAACCAAGAGCTTCCAAACATTCCATTAGGAGAACATAGGAAAACCCAACGCAATAGCAATCTAGAAATTTTTTTCTTGAACCCTTTAAACCACCACCTGAAACACACTTAAACTTCATTTTCCATACAAGCTGATAAGCATATGACTTTTCCTCCTCCAACATCTTCAATCAAATTAGCAAAGTATTTATTTTTAAACAACTCATTCTCTTCTTCTTCAAAACCGAGACATTTCACCTTCTCCTCCAACAGCAACTTGTTTAACTAATCTTCAACAACAAAATTATCTCTCATTTAAAACCCCATGTTATCAGCATGAATTTGTGAAAAAACTTGTTTGGCCAACCTTCTACTACTGCTTCACTTGAAGTTTCAACACCAGCTATTCTACCCAAACAAACCACCTAGAAATTAGTATTTAGTTGCTTATGTTCAAAAACCTCCATGGGCACTCCTCACTCTACCAACTAACAATCTTGATGAGTGATTTACAACTATTTGAACGACAAAGCTTCCTTCTTTAGGATACACAATCTCAGTTTCAAAGGGGAGAAGCCACAATAGTTATATAACAGCCTCCAAGCAATCTAACATATTCATAAAATCTCTTCTTGTCATAACATCAAAGGTATTCATGAAGCTTAACGCATCCCCCATAGCACGGCATTACTTTGACTTAACCATGTTTTCCAGTGTCCCACCTCTCATACTTGGGCGAGAAAGCCCCCACTATCCTCCACCCCTCATCTATAGCTTACAAAGTTCCTCTAACTCCTCCTTGACTACCCCTCTCAGGAAAGCTTTGGCCACTATGCGAGGACTAAATATGCAATCTTCATGCATAAACCTCCTTAAGGCTGACGTCTTGTTACAACAATGATATGTTTCCAACAAATTTGAACAGGCTCAAGTCTCTTCTTCACCCTCCGTACTTCTTTCCTTCAAATCCTTCACCCAGCTCTTTAATATCTATTCTTTCATCCTCTTTATATTCATTCTTCCCTAAATGTTCCCAACAAACTATTTACATAAACTACATAAGAAAAGTATTAGCAAAACAAATTTTAAACAAAATAATTTTGAAACCTCACTAAGTTTTGCCATAACAGAAGCCAACGAAAGAAATTTTCTATAAAATGAAATATAGATACAGCAAACTTCATAAGCTTACATACAAACATCCAAAACAAAATTCCTCTTTACTTTGAACCAAACACCTCATAATGAAGTCATAGATGCAGTTTTCGATCATTTCCCTAACATCTATCTCAAATTGTAGAAAGAAAAAATTTTAAAAAAACGTAAGAAAAAATAATAAATAAATAAATAAAATCCAGGCAAATGCTACTGAAATGGAAGACGATAAAAGTCACAAAGTGGAACATGAACCCTAGAAAAGCCACAAACTAGAAATCCAAAACGAAAGGCGAATTCATCAACTGCAAAAGAAAGAGAGAAAGAGAAAAGAAGACGATGATGAGATGAACCTTTTTTTCCAGGCATTTCCTTTCCATCTTTCACATAAAACTCCCGAATATCCACCACAATCTTTCCTTGCCAGTTCCTGACCATAACTCTACGGTTCTTCGAAATCTACATTTCAAAAACATTTTTAAAGTGTTGAAAGCATGGAAAAGACACTAAGAACAGGAGGAGGAAGAGAAATGAAGAACCTCGCAGACGACGATTTCGTCGGTTTCTTCGGAATCTTTCTTAAATGTCTTCTTCGGAGGAGCATCTCCTTCGGATGCGTGGTCTTCATCGTCCTTTCGCTTTCCTCTAGCAGACATCTCTTCCTCCTTTTTCGCTGTAATTTTGCGACCGACTGTGCTCTTCAACACTTAGCAACTACAGATGAGCGCGAAACAAATGGCGTGGAACTCATCAAAATTAACTTTCCATCTTAAAAAAAATAGGTTAAATTAATAAATAAATAAATAACTCAAAAATATATTTAAACTTTCAAATATTTTTATATATGATAATACTTCAAGCTCATCGTTAGCAGATGTTGTACGCTTTGGCCCGTTGCGTATCACCGCTAGCTTCAATTTTTAAAACGTGTTTGCTAGAGAGGTTTCCAAACTCTTTGGAATGTTTTTTCCCTTCTCCAACCGAAGTCACAATTTTTAAAAAGTATTTTCTAGAGAGAGATTTCCAGATGTGAGCCACCCCTTTGAGGCAAACGTCTTCGCTAACACAACACTCTAATGTTTGACTCTAGTACCATTTGTAACAGTAAAACCCACATTTAGTAGATATTGTATGTTTTTGCCCGTTACGTATCGTCACCCGCCTCACCATCTTCTAGGGAGAGGTTTCCACATTCTTAAGGAATGTTCCATTCTTCTCTCCGACCAAGATACAATCTCATAGCATAAATGTCTTCGAGGGCTAGACTAATGTCTTTACATCTTGAAAGAGATTTCATAATGTTTTGGTTTTCAAGAGCTTTCAAGAGTCTTCTACTTTTCTAGAATTCTTCCAAGTATCGACCATGATCGTGGAAGAATCACAACACTACAACGAGGCAGTCTCTCTCGATAATTTCTCCGATCGTGGTCGAGACAACTCCAAACTCAAATACAATATAAGAAAAAAACAATGCATATAATATTGCAAAGGATCATATCAACCTTAATTAAAACAATATAATTTAATTGAAAACTTGATCCAAGAAAGAAAGGGAAAAAAGAAAAAAAACCAACAAGCATTTAGACAACACAATCCTAAGCAGAAAGAAGAACAATTTATATACGTGCATGAGGAGGTGTCTGTACAACATCATATATTGGTAAATGAAGCCATTCTGAGCATTACTAGGAATTCACAACATCAAAGAACATCAAAGAACAGATTCTCAGCTCAAACCACTTCACCACTACTTCAAACACTTATGCTGCCAACGGTTCTTCCATAGCTGCAATCCAACAAATTTGATGTATTATGAAACCAGTGGATGTAAAAGAGAGAGAGTAGAGAGAGGGAGAGAGAGAGAAAGAGACCTCTTCTTTTTGTGGGAGCATCAGATGGAACAATTTCAGCATCTTCTTCCACGGCGGCTGCTGCTGCAACAGGTTTTTTGGTCGGTACATCGGGAAGATCCAACCTTTCACCATTTTCTTTAGCCATTGGGATCTCGGGTAGATCTTCAACGGTGAGCTGAGAAAAAAGTCGATAGGAGGTTTGTTATGGAATCAACCCAAGGGAAAGTTTTGAAACGGATTATCTTGATGATCAAGATCAAGAATAAAGAAAACTCGTTTCTGAACTCGTGATTCAAATCACTCCACAAGAGGTATGAAGGTAGTTCATATCAAGATCGTCTTGAGATAGAATTGTAAAAGGCAATCGGTAGGAGTTTATATCTTATATGGGCTCCTATCATGCAAGATGAAAAATAATAATGAAAAAGACAATAAAACACACGGTACCTGAGCTTCCAAGCTCTCAAATTCTGCTAAGATTTGCTCCTCGTCTTCTTCTGATAATTTCTCTCCTAAGATGGCATTGATTTCCTTCAAAAATAGAAATAAAATTTAAGCTCAAATCATGCTGGTCTACTTCGAATTTTGTATAATAGGTTAAGAGAGCCCAGCAAAACAAGAATTTTGAGTAATTAAGCATTTTCTCTGTTGGGTTTCTGAAATGGCAAGGTCAAACAGTTTATAACGGAGTTCTCATAGAAAAAAATGGTCAAACTAAGGTGCATGCTGACTCTAGGATCCAATGTATGCTTAATAAAATAGCTTCCAAGAGGCAACCCCTGGCAAAGGCCTACGGTCTCTAAATCTACTCGAAGAACGCATATTTGATTCTTCAATGAGCTTAATTGTAACAGACCAAGCCTACCACTAGCAAATATTGTTCGCTTTGACCTGTTATGTATCGCCGTTAGCTTCTCAGTTTTTAAAACCCGTATACTAGGGGAGGTTTCCACACCCTTATAAGGAATGTTTCATTCCCCTCTCCAACCAATGTGAGATCTCACAATCCACCCTCCTTGGGGGCCAACATTCTCGCTGGCACACCGCCCGGGGTCTGGCTTTGATACACTTTTACACTCCAAGCCCACCGCTAGCAGATATTGTACGGTTTGGCCCGTTACATATCGCCGTCGGTTTCACGGTTTTTAAAACGCGTCTACTAGGGAGAGATTTCCACACCCCTATAAGGAATCCTTCGTTCCCCTCTCCAACCGACGTGGGATTTCACATTAATAAAGATAATCTTTGATATCCCCAAAGTCTAGGCATGAGGCCAGATGCAAGATGCCTCAGATGCAAGATTACCGAAGAACTAAAAAAAAGAAATACATGCTTAATAAAATAGAAAATGTCCACAGAATTATAAATTGTTGTCACAAAAATAAGAAAGAAGAAGATCCCCAGATTGTGATCGAGGTTGAGGTGATGAGAACATTGGAATTGGAAAGGTCAAACAGTTTATAACGGAGTTCTCATAGAAAAAAATGGTCAAACTAAGGTGCATGCTGACTCTAGGATCCAATGTATGCTTAATAAAATAGCTTCCAAGAGGCAACCCCTGGCAAAGGCCTACGGTCTCTAAATCTACTCGAAGAACGCATATTTGATTCTTCAATGAGCTTAATTGTAACAGACCAAGCCTACCACTAGCAAATATTGTTCGCTTTGACCTGTTATGTATCGCCGTTAGCTTCTCAGTTTTTAAAACCCGTATACTAGGGGAGGTTTCCACACCCTTATAAGGAATGCTTCATTCCCCTCTCCAACCAATGTGAGATCTCACAATCCACCCTCCTTGGGGGCCAACATTCTCGCTGGCACACCGCCCGGGGTCTGGCTTTGATACACTTTTACACTCCAAGCCCACCGCTAGCAGATATTGTACGGTTTGGCCCGTTACATATCGCCGTCGGTTTCACGGTTTTTAAAACGCGTCTACTAGGGAGAGATTTCCACACCCCTATAAGGAATCCTTCGTTCCCCTCTCCAACCGACGTGGGATTTCACATTAATAAAGATAATCTTTGATATCCCCAAAGTCTAGGCATGAGGCCAGATGCAAGATGCCTCAGATGCAAGATTACCGAAGAACTAAAAAAAAGAAATACATGCTTAATAAAATAGAAAATGTCCACAGAATTATAAATTGTTGTCACAAAAATAAGAAAGAAGAAGATCCCCAGATTGTGATCGAGGTTGAGGTGATGAGAACATTGGAATTGGAAAGGTCAAACAGTTTATAACGGAGTTCTCATAGAAAAAAATGGTCAAACTAAGGTGCATGCTGACTCTAGGATCCAATGTATGCTTAATAAAATAGCTTCCAAGAGGCAACCCCTGGCAAAGGCCTACGGTCTCTAAATCTACTCGAAGAACGCATATTTGATTCTTCAATGAGCTTAATTGTAACAGACCAAGCCTACCACTAGCAAATATTGTTCGCTTTGACCTGTTATGTATCGCCGTTAGCTTCTCAGTTTTTAAAACCCGTATACTAGGGGAGGTTTCCACACCCTTATAAGGAATGCTTCATTCCCCTCTCCAACCAATGTGAGATCTCACAATCCACCCTCCTTGGGGGCCAACATTCTCGCTGGCACACCGCCCGGGGTCTGGCTTTGATACACTTTTACACTCCAAGCCCACCGCTAGCAGATATTGTACGGTTTGGCCCGTTACATATCGCCGTCGGTTTCACGGTTTTTAAAACGCGTCTACTAGGGAGAGATTTCCACACCCCTATAAGGAATCCTTCGTTCCCCTCTCCAACCGACGTGGGATTTCACATTAATAAAGATAATCTTTGATATCCCCAAAGTCTAGGCATGAGGCCAGATGCAAGATGCCTCAGATGCAAGATTACCGAAGAACTAAAAAAAAGAAATACATGCTTAATAAAATAGAAAATGTCCACAGAATTATAAATTGTTGTCACAAAAATAAGAAAGAAGAAGATCCCCAGATTGTGATCGAGGTTGAGGTGATGAGAACATTGGAATTGTCACAGTCAAGACAAATGAGAGTTCGCTGGGCTCCTTTTGTTGGGCTTTATTTTGTATGCCCTTATATATTCTCTCTTGACGGAAGCTTGGTTTCTTAACAAGAGGAGAAATGTTAGTAAAAAATTCAAATCAAACTGAATATCCTGTACAACAAGAAGCCAAAGGTGTGGAAGAAGGATGGAAACATGCCAAGCTTATAAAAGATCGATTGTGGGCACCAAATAGGATATAACCAATAGCATTGATGTGACCACAACAATAGAAGCAGCAACATCAAAGGAAGGTCACCATACAAGTAGCAAAGGAAGAAAGATTGGGCTCCTTCCAAACTTAGACTCAAACGCATTTGGAAACTGCGATGAGCCACTGAAACTCATACTAGTTAATAAAGAAGGAAAGAACAGGTTGAGAAAAAATGAATACACATGGATTTTCAAGACACGACAAATCTTGTGTGGGCCATCACTTATTCAAACCCTACTCAAAAGCTAACTCAGGGCCATGGTTGGGGTAACATGGGTGCTTACCAATGTTTTTGACAACAACATTTGGATTAATTGAGAGCAAAGGTGTAAGTTTTTTCTTAAAGATCAAATCAACATCTTCGGTGAGGAGATTTGAATCTCTAACATAGATCGTAAGTATATGTTTTAACCAGTTGTGTTGTGTTTAGGATCGTAGAGTAAATGTGTAGTTGAAAAGAACTAGTCGAGCATGGACCGTGGAATGAAAGGAAAACTAGTGCTTATAATAATACCAGTAGGGATACATATCACATGTCAATAGTGACATATTTACAATTACTTGATAAATTGAAGGATATGAATTAAAAATTAAAGAACTTACATCCTGATATGCCTTGGCTTCAGCAGTATCATCCATCAACTTTTGGACA